AAAGTAACAACATAAATAACACCCATAAAAGTAATTTTCAACTGTTAAATGAATGTACTATTCTTATTTTTAACTTATAATTTCTGATTATAGAAAATCTGAATATTGAATGCACTATTATTGTTAATATTATTATTATTATTATTATTATTATTATTATTGATAAGTTATAGTCTTCGTAAGAGGTAGGAGGTCTAGTCTAGTCTTCGAAGAGGTAAAAATTTAACTTGAAAGTAAAATATGTTCTGCTGCTTAACTGTATCTATACAATTAGTAGTACACTGATTATCAAAAAGAAAAATAACGTTTATTTTAACAAAACAGTGATATATAATTAATTAGTTTACATGTGTATTGAATATTTTTTTAAAAATAACTTAATATGCTTGCAACAAATAATGAACTTCAGCTTCCGAGTCAATGACCCCCATCTCGATCAGCTTTTGGTCTAGTTTTCCTGACCCATTGAGCTAATGATGAGATGGCCCCTTATTTTGCTTCTGGAAAACGTTCTTCAACGTTTCTTTCTTTTCAAAACTTCTCAACGTTTTGTTGAACTCTTCTTTTGCTTGTAGTGGTAGGAGTAGAGGTAAGGGCGAGTTACTATTTTGTTAGCAACGCAGCAAATAAAATCTGCAGTTCGTTTACCATTGCAAATAGGTTTTGTATAACTCGGGAACGACAATGTCTAGTTTTTCAAATGTTACTAATATCGCTCTTTTTAAAATTTTATTATTATTTTTTTATTTAAAAAAACTTTTTCTCATCTTTCTAATATTTATAGTTAAAATGATACGAAAGGATTCTGGAACTCAAGAAAACGTGCGCAGATGATCTTCTCCCCATACGTCACATAAATTTTTACTGTTTTTGACTAAACAAATCTAAATCTTAAAGTGCTGACGTCGACGTGCTTGAATCTCATGATGTTAATGCAACCTCGCCTGTGCTGAATAGTATTTTCGATACCGATTACTGCACATTTTTCTTCTACTGACGAGGACTCCGAACCTCCAAGTTCTTTCAATGAGTGCAGGTCACCACTGTTTACGATTAGCATTGTGGCAGATGATCGTTGAAAAACAATGCCATGTGTAGAGCCAAAGAGAAATTTTAAAATTGTGCTCTTTTTTTGAAGTGTCTCCTATTGTATGTATATCCACTTGTTTAGTGCATTTCCCACTTCTATAATCTAGGAATGAGCGTCTCGTTTGTAAGTTAGATGGACGTAGGTCAGCATATGTTTACATAAATCATATGCATTGAATAAAAGATCGTCTTTGAGTATTATAAACATCATGTTTTTTTGTTGTTTTTTTTTGTGCAATTCAGTGTAACTAGCTCTCCGTTGCTCGTGGTTTCTACATCATCAATAGTCAATGACACAACTTCGTATCGTCGACATGCCCTAAGAATACCACAAAATATAATACCTTTGTAAGTAGCCATTTGCTTCCAGTAAAAATTTTATAATATGTTCTTACGATAAAATCTTGACCTTGAAACTGTCGTGTGTGAAGCAACAATTGTATCGATTTAAAATGGAAGATGGCATTGCTCTCCTACGTATTAAAAACAATGGATTTTTTATTTACATTATTTTTCCTAATAACAGATGATATTACGAAAAGTATGGAAAGACACACGGCCGGTATCACAAATAACAGACTTGGTTGGTTATAAACCTCGGCTATCGCCTCGTTTTACAAACTTCAACCGCGTCTGTTATTTGATGTTTGTAGGTCTAATGATGTTAATAACTATAACAAACGTCTGATGTTAGGAGCTGCTTTTGCAGCCTTTGGTTGCGTTAAGTCGATATAACCGAGCAGTATTACGAAAAGTAATAGTGTGAACCTACAAGACGTTTTCACGAATGTCATTATAGCTGCATTTACTACGAAGGGCAAAAGTAATTGTTAATGAAGCTGTAGAGGACATCTTAGAAGCGTAAACAGGAGGATAGGTTGTGTTTGCTTCATTAACTCCTGTTTGCTTGACTGTGTGATATAGCATCACTTTCCTTGCTTGAACACTCAGGAGATTGGCCTAATACCAAAATTTTATGGACGAATGGGTCGTGATGTCGTCTTTATAAATGAAATTGTACATCTGCACTAGTGTAGTAGTTCATACCATTCCTATTATACTCGAAATATTATCAAAGAAATACAGTTTTTGAAAGGATTGCTTGTAGTAAGTAGTGTTTGCGGATACTAATACCATTTGTGATATGATGCGGAGAGACTTTCCTGGCGCAATGTATTTTAATTGCGATGTTAACGTGTGTAACTTAATCGTGTGTATCTGTGATTAAAAAATCTAGGCAGTACCTTGATTGTGCTAGTATTGAGTTTGCGACGTATTTTGTTTTAAGTTCTCTAGAAAATCATATTATTTTAGTAGCAATTGGCATGTTATGTGTTTACGCAATCACATAAAACATATTTTTTTACAGATTCATTTTTTTATTATGTACCCAACATATTATTTTAATTTTATTAATCTTTTATATATGTTTCTACTGACGTTCATTTCATAAGGACTTGCGGCAATGTAATATAAATTCCTCGGTAGTTCCATACATTTTCCCTTCTAGATGACGCTGTTATTCACTTTCTGAACGCTCAGCAGGTTATTGATTCTGCCGCTTGGAGCGCTTAAGTTCCGCAGCTCAGCTGCTGCCTTGTGCTATCGCGGGAAATTCAGTGGGCACGAAGCGTCGCGCTGCTTTGTGCATGTGTGTACTCTAGGCGTTGTGACGAATGTCATCTTTAGAACTTCTGGTTTTCAATGCGAAAATAAAAAAAATATTCAGATATATAAAAGAAAATGCAACATCATTCATTTATTAATTAAACAGCATCAGAAACCCAAAATCAATTTGATTTCGTTACACATTCAGAATTCTTTCAAATTTTCTCAGCTTTCATGCAGTTTGTTACAATGTATTTGAATGTGAATGTGGGCACTCACAATTTATATTGCAGAAAAAATTGTGAGAATAATAAATAAATACCATTCATATGATTCCTGATAGCTTCTCTTCATTGAGCTTGAAATATTGACATTGCCTTATATATTTACAAATCTGCAATTTTTGTCACAACTTACGTACTTAAATGTGGGAACATCTTTTCATGCAGAACAGATATTTATAATTACAACAAACGTCGTAAAAATGATATTCATCAGGAGTCAGTATCAAGAAGTTCATTGCAAGGAACATACATATAATACACGTATGTTTAGAACACTTTGCCGGATAACATTAAAGAATTAAAATCGATACACACGCTTAAGTGCTAAGTAAAATATTTTTACTGCATAACTGTTGCTATAACTGGTTCTACATCTTCTAATTAGAGACTATACTGACCACCAAAAGTAAAAAGTATAAATATGCCTTTAACAATTAATGGACCAGCTCCTAGGTAAGTGCCCCCAATCACGATCAGGTTTTTCATCCACTTTTGCGAGAGTCATTGAGAAAATACTGAGAAGGCCTTCTACATATAAATGTAGCTCACTACGCGCATATTTTATCGACTTTTTTGCAAAATGGTGGTACAAATTTAGCTGAGAGTATGGGTTGCTCTTTAATTGCAATACTAAAAACTACAATCTGTCGTTCGTTTATTGTTGCAAATGTTTTCTATACGTTTGGAGCGAAAATATCGTAAGTTATTAATCTCGTCATTTTTGTACTTTTATTGACCTTCGACTTTGTATAGTAAAAGGGCGAAGAAGGGGTTGTGAAGCTCAAGAAAAAGTGCGCAGATTGAATTTTTCCCTCTTTTGTTACATACATTTTCTTACGTTTTTTTGACAAAAATAAAACAAATCAAACCACACCTTTATTGTAGATATCTTATAAAATCGCAGCAAAAGAGGTAGACACATAACGCACCTCCAATAGAAAAGTGACAGAGGTGCGAATTTCTGATTTCTCAGAAATTTCAATTTTAAGTTTTGTAGTTCTGTAATACTCGTTATAGATTGTACCAAATATTCACCTTTTAGCGGACAGTAATTGAACTAATTCAAAATCAACTTCAGAATAATAGCAGTACCTCTTGGTAACCTCTTATCAGCTTTTAGCTGAAAAATGACGATTTCGCACTTATGACACTTTTCTATTGGAGGTGCGATAACTGTACTTCTAGAGTTTCTCATTTAAAAAACTTACAAGAAAAGAACTTTTCATTCAATCTTTCCATAATAGAATATGCAGTGTATTAAACCCTTATCGTTTTGTTTATCTAGCTTTGGAAACAATGGTTGGCATTTTCTCTATTGTTATTATTATTATTATTATTATTATTATTATTATTAATATTATTATTATTATTATTATAATTATTATTATTATTGATAGCAAGTTTGAAACCGCTTTGCATTGAGTATCAAATTTGAGATTAAAAATTAACTTTAACACTCGGCGTCACCTAATATTTTGCCAGCAATAACATCGCTTTCGCTTTCAGCAAACCTTACTATAATAATATTGAGCATTAAAAAGTTATGACTTAAGAATCTAAAATAAAGTTAAGTCCTGGAACAAAATCATGGCTGAAAATTAATATTAACCAAAATTTCTGAAAATTTAAGGGGCTCATTTTTCTCAATTCCTCAAAACCGATTTAGAGATAGAGCTTATTAAAACAGAAAAGTCGGCTAAATTTGAGACGCTCTTGTGAATATGCAAATATAATGAAGTATGAACCAATAGCATTAATATGTCATAATTTCATTATCATTCAATCTTAACGACCATTTTCGTAATATAATAATAACAACGCAGTTTTCTTCCTCTTCCAAGGATTTCAAAAGTACATCTAATGCTGATTAAGGCACATTATCTAAATCGAACACTGAGTCTCCTTTTTGACTGACATGTCAGATTAGACAGTTATGTATAACTGAAAATATTTAATGTATTATTCCATATACAGTGCTTTTTTAATTGAAATAGGAAGGAAACAAATAATTCGACTTTTTCCTTCAAAGAAACAATAGGTAACATTAATAATAAATCATAATTTGGCAAATATTTAAACTTTATTTTCAATTATTCGTGGTAATTCCTTAAATAACTTCGACTATTGCTTTATCCAAGAAATATAATATTTAAAAAAAATATTTTCTAAAGGGTTGAAGAATTTCTTCAGAAATCAAGATGGAATGGGTAGTACTTATGATCAGCAAACCTGAAAATAAAAAAAATAATAAATATGTTTGCAGAAGCGTATAAACAAATCATTCAAGCGATTAGTTTTTGCAACAGATATATGAGAATAACAAGCGTAGAAATGATCCAAGAAATTCCGTTCTAGGTTGAAATACTTTTAGCTTCTGTTGGCAAATTATGCATTATTATTTTGGCAAATAGGATAGGGCAAGAAGTCAATACGTGGTAATTTTTCTCCCGGGTTATTTCTTCAATTAATTCACTTAACAGAATCAGTGTCATTGGTGCCAACAGTGCTGAAGTTAGGATAATCCTTTAACTTCTGTTGAAATTTAATACAATAAATATTGTGATAATTATTTGTACCTTTCTTATTTTTATTATTGATTTGTTGTTCTATTAGCGAACATCTAATAATCATCTTAGTTTAAATAACGAATTTTAATCGCACGATCTTCTCAATTACTTTAAAAATCATACCGTTGCAACGGTCTCCAACGCGTTGGAAAATTTTCTCTAAGAATCTTTTTCCTATGAATACTTTTGTTAAATAATTTCTTTTTTAAAATAATTTTGTAGGTATCAGTAATATTATTTTCTCTCTATCTTCAAAAGTTCAAATATACTCTTATTTATTTTCCTTTTATTGTTATGTAGTGAATGTAAGACAGAAAATTCTCTTGAATTCGCTAACTATTCAGTTTTCATGTTATTACATTCATATTCTGGGTCTTTAGTTATAGCACTCAAATTTTTAATGAAACCGTATTTTCTTTTATTGTTTGTCAGAACAAGTTTTCCTATTATATAATAGTCTTAAAGTCAAATTTCAACTCTGCCATTAGTGGACCGAAAAATTGAGAAAATATAAAATGTGTCCTTTATGCGGCTACAGATGTCATCTGGAATTAGGGTTAGGCAAAACTGGAAAGCTACTCGTAGCCCAGACTACAAAAACAGAAAAATAACTAATACGAAAAACTTTGTGCCTTTCTCTTGCACCACTAGTTCTACTTGGCCACTGTCATTTCACAATGTCTGACCTTGCGCAAGAAAAATGTATGCATCGATGTGATTTCAAATGGCCCACGCCCGCGCAACATATGTGATACTTTTTTATACGTTAGTTTTCCATGATTCTGCCATGAAAGTGTTCTCTCTTTCACCTTTTCTTTGGCTAGAGTTCTTCTATTTCCAATTGAAGGGTTAGTGGTCTCCCCTCAAATGGAAAGTTATTTAAACCGTTTTCTATCTAAAAAAGAAGGTGAACTATCTTTGTACATTGTTGGTTTGATCAGCTTTCTTCTATAAAGTTAAGAATGAAGTCACTATTTTTTTCTTTTCGTAACTATTTTCAACAACAATATTCTACAACTTTAACTTAACTATTTTTCTATTTCCGTAACATGTGATTTTGGTCCCTACGGCGCTTACACTTTTCTTTCATTTGCAAGGAGTCTATTGTGTGATTAAATTGAGTCTGCTTTTCATACATCACCTTACTTCATTATCTGTTTTCTTATGTCGATCTGTATTTTACACGATTTACACGTGCTTCTTGAACTGGAATTACATTCGATTCATTTGTTTGCCTTATTGCTTTAATAAACGGGTTGTGTGCTTATCAGTGATCACCCTACTACAATGTTTTTGTGTTGATGGGGAGCCTTCAATTACCTTAGTTGGATCGTAACCATGCAGGCTACAAATAACCTGACATCGAAAAGTTTGTAATATAAAACTCGACGAATTGTTAGTAATATTTTCGTGTTACAATTTGTGGAAAATAAATAACTCGACCGTCCCCCGTCATGAGAGGTAGAGGTAGAAAAGTCATTATATACAAAGAGAAAATGTGTCGAGCTCCAGTTTCCACGAGTTTTCTCTTTAACTTGAGCTCTAAAGGGAGATGTTTTTTGGGGAGAAGTCGTATTATTATTAAGTTAGCATTATTCATGACTCTCCTCGATAAAACATACCCGGTAGTCTTTCTCTTGCTGAAGGTCTCTCATCACTGAATCTTTTTTCAAATATATACTCCGCTCAAGTGAACTTGGAACGTGTTATCTTCTTACTTAAATGCACCAATTACGACCGAACTGGATACAAATGCAGCCAGTAAAGTCTTTTATAACAGATAACATGTGCATAACATACTTTCCAGCGTTTACTGTTACCTTCCTAGCAACGTTTTCTAAGTTCATGTAAAAGATGTGACAAAGTCGTTTCTTCATAGTCACGGAGTTTGTTTGCAAATGTAGGCCTAGTTAACTATGCGGACAATGAAAGAAACAAAGTGTATTCATCAGACAATATCTCACATGCAATCCAAATTATTCTTGATTAGACGGTGGTCATTGTTTCGGAGAATCAGGTATTTCACCATACAAAACACTAGAATCCTATCTACGTAGTGCACTTATTTTAAATCAAATATTTCTAAAACTGGTTCATTTTAATCATATTCTTGTTTCAGTATCTTTATGTACTAAAGTTTTGGGCACCCTTATCAAGATTTGCTGTTGTTCTTCCTTTTTCAGTTTTATTTTATTAAGGAATATCCCTATATCAAATCTTTATAACATCTTTCTTGCTTTGTACGAGAATCGTAGTTTTGAATTTCCACTTCTGTACAAAAAGATGTAGTGCAGAATCGAAATGGTACTTACCAATTGACATGAACTACTCGGCCGTTACAGTCGAAAGAAGAGATTAATTTCATATCTTCTTCAGAAATATCAAAATCAAAAATGTCAATGTTCTGTACAATGCGTGACTTTGTTACTGATTTGGGAATTGTTATCAGATTTCTCTGAACCTAAAAGAGAGAAAGTACAATGTAGCGTAATGAAAAATTGATGTTTTCTGTATTTTAAGTTATTAGAAACTCGTTGAATTCGTAACCCTATTATCCTTTCTCAAACTAAATGGAAAGAACATAACAGTTGAAGATTCAATACTCACCCCATATCGCAAAAGAATCTGTGCAGGCGTTTTACCGTATTTTACTGCAAGATTTTTTAACTTAGGATCCTCCAGCAACTGGGGATCGTCGGGTTTTGCCCAAGGGCGATCAGGTGAAGCTAGTGGACTGTATGCCGTCACCACAATGTCTTTGCTTTTGCAGAAATTGATAAGCTTTTCTTGGTTTAAATAAGGATGCACCTCGACCTACAGAGAAGACAAACGTGATCATGCAAAATGAAATGCAACAGGAAGAGACGATTACTAAGAAAGAAGGAGAAAATAAATAAATAAATAAATAAATAAATAAATAAATAAATAAATAAATAAATAAATAAATAAAACGCCAGAACCGTATCCAAAGTGTGGTATAACAGTCTCCACCTCCTATCACACATGTGTTTAGCACGATTGTTCCACAGCACCACGTTGGAAGCACAAACAATACTTTCTAAAGCTCTCAATAATATTTTCTCTAAAATGGCTCCAAATGTTTAAATGAAAATGTACATATAGGGTGAGGTGTTACTCTTCTATAATATTCTTAAAGTCACTTTTCAGCTTTGTTATTAGATAAATGAAAAATTGAGAAAATGTTAAAAAAGGTAGTTTCGGGGGTGATAGATGGCAGCAGGGAAGATTAAGTGGCAAAACCGAAAAGCTAACCCAGACCACAGAAATTACAAAACTAACTAGTACGAGAGAGCCTTTGCTATTCAGTAGCACCATTAGCTTAAATCTCGGATACTTCCGACCCCCCTTAATTGGCACATCGAAATGTTACATGGGAGTTACTTTGCAGAATTCAGCCACTTCGAGGTTCCTATTAACTGCAAGGTATCCCAAGTGGCAGTAGCTAAGCTTAAACCTAATCCGACTTCAAATGAGCAATACACGAGTAAAGGTAGGATTCATTTCAAAGACATGTCATCAAGGTTCAATATTTACCTTTGTTTCGTATCTGCTTGATATCTGGCGCAGTCCCCAGAGGGGTGTTTGAGTTCTGGAAAAGGGGAGGGCATGCCGTTTTACCATCACCGCCTCGCTATTTGTCTCGGCACAGTAATATAAATTCAACAAAATACTAAATAGAACGTTGATCACTCATTAGTTATTTCTCAACTGTAAAGTCCTTCGTGATGGGTAAACAACTCTACTGCAATAAGCTGTGGCATAGTGAGTTACAGTTATCTTATATCTTACAACGAGCTATAGCCATTTAATAAGAGACTTATACAATGGGAGTAGGAAAATACATTTTACGAACTTTATTTTAGGTATATTAAAATGTAACTAGGCGTTCTTTTGTTTCGAAAATTGTTTTGTAATTTATTTATATCAAACACTGGTGCTTCATTCAGTTTGCTAGTCGTAATTGCAAAGTTATGAAGTCTTTGTCGTAAAAAAGCGTTGTAAAAAGAAAAAAAAATATTTTAAGTTTCAATATCGAAAACCTACGTTTGTCTCAGAAACATATACTATAAGAAGATATTCAACGTTATGAATATATTCAGATGCAGGGTTGCATCTCACCCAAAAAATTTAAACTTTAATTATAAAATGTTGCACATTTACAAAGGGTGATAAATGCGCTCATTCAGATTGTCGCCCTAGACGGTTGTCCTAGCGCTAGACAAGATGGTTTATATACGTAGGTAACGCCTCCCCTGATTCCTTTGGAATCTCGCTTGAAATATTTCCGATAATGATAAATTCAACAATAGTTAAATGAAAGCAGAGAATATTTTTTTAATTATCGCAATACGGAGTAATTCGGATCATACCAGGTAAAGTGGATCACGAACATATGGTGTTACGTACTACCACGAAAAAGTGTCCAATGTAAAGACTTGACAAATGAAAAAGAGAGAGTCATTCATTGTGCTGATACTGGGAATGTCATGAAAGACGTAGATTCAAAGATCCTTTACAACAAAGGAGGCCATGACCTAACGTACTTCATCACAAATACAATTAATCGTTTTTACTTTCCCATATATGTACGTATATACGAAGTAATATACGTAGTATAGAGAAAGTTACGTAATGCTGCGGAAAATCCATTTCGAGATTTCAATGGAAATACACGTTTTGGGATCCTCTGATACCGAGAAAGCGTTTTTTTTAAAACGTCAGTCCGTCCGTCTGTCTGGTATTTGTGAACAACATTATCACCTAAACCATGCGATGGATTTTTACCAAATTGAAGAAACTCCTGCCCATGGTCCTGAGACGAAGTTCTGCTATTTTGAAAATCATTCATTAGTTTTTGGGGGTACATTACATGAAGCTCCTGGAAGTTTTAATTATTTTCGGAGACTTCGAATAACAACAAAATTTAAGAAAGAGATTTTTTCTTCAAATATTATTTGTAGTCCATAATTTGTTCTTTCGTTGGCAGGTAATTTTTTTTGAAAATTTTATTAGTTTTCGCGTAATATTACG